AAAGCAATACATCAATCCATTCGCCCAACATACCATGTTTGCAATCAAGAATTTGTCCAACCTCCTTACTTCTTACAGCCATGATTCCCATGGGCTTCCACACGAAACTGACTCCGATGAGACCGTCAATAATTCCGAGACAGAGGACACTCACTGGCCGATACTGGCGGGAAAAGAGAGCAAAAATAACGATGTACACATGAAGACGACAAAAGTATTGTCGTTTGGTTCCGAAAACGAAGACGATCATTCCACCGCTGCAGAATCGGAGTATTCCTCGTCCAATATAAGCCAAAGCACAAMCAATAGCGGGTTTGCCAAGGATCCATCGGAGTCTCCGAGAAAAAATCAGGACCAAAATCTGTCGTTTTCGCACTCCGAAACCAAATCTCCTCTCAATGACGGAGACGAAATACCGGGAGAGGATGAGGAAAACGACGAAGCAATGGTCAATGAGGCGAAGGAATTTACGAAGCTGGAGGCAGAGGAAGAAGAGTTTCTGGCAAAGGCTGTGGGAGAGATGCGATCAATCGTTTTGGATAATGCAAGGTTGATTGCCAAGACCGRAGCAGTTGAGGCCGCCAATACGGATATCGATGCGAATGCACCAAAGGTCGAAGCGGAGGAAGCAGATCGATCCAAGCCAGCGGAGGCCACCGAGGAGAAAAATACGGGATCGTATCTCCCAATAAGGACGAAACATGAAGCTTGTCTTGCCGAAGATACGCAGGAAGAAAAAGCGATTGACGACAACGAAGAGGAAGCAGATTTATCGATGAGAACAGCCATAGAAGATAAAATGTTGTCTTTAGGAGAGGACWACGCCACGAAGAAACTAGGCGTGGATATCGATGTCACTAGCGATAAGAATATCATAACAAGATCCGACTCCATTGCAAAGGAAGAGGTGGYCACGAAGGAAGGAGATAAAGAAGATGATTCCAAACCCAAGCCAGAGGCCGCGACAACCCCGGAAGAARCAGAACCCTTGGATTCCCATTTGGAAGAGACGATCCCCTCGAAAACTGACACCAACATCGAATCAAGGAAATTGTCGAAGACCACAAAAGACGAAATTTATTTGGCGGAGGARGAAGCTACCAATTCCAGGRAAGAAGCCTCAAARATTACGRAAGGGACAGTATCCGAAGCAACRACCAAGTCAGGAACTKACRGAAAGGTAGAAACGGATTCCAGGTCACAGACTGGTGGAGAAKCTGTTGCAAGAACAGAGRTACAACCTGAAGCCCAAGCTAAGGCGAGTGCAGGGGCTGACACTGAGACAAAGTCAGATAGAGAAATCAAAACAGAGTCAGATGAAGAGGATCGTGCAACAGTGAAGATAACGCTTGCTCCAAACACCAAGATAGACCATAGTGCTGATAAAAGATTTGAGGTCGAAAGAAAAGCTGTCGAAGAWATAGATAAAAAGATCGAGTTGAACGTAGTAGACGGTCTGGAGTTAGAATCAGCTCAAGATGTTGTTGTTCCATCAAAGACCAAGGGAGACGAACAATATGATTTAGGAGCTGGTGCCAATATGGAGTTACAAAGAGCTGAGTCAAGGGTGCAAACTGAGGCATTGTCAAACACTCTGCTAGGAAGTGGTGATCACAAAAAGGGAGACAAACGAGTAGAGATGCACGGAGAGATTCAGCCAGAAGGGAAGACTTATGCAGGCGAAGTCAAGAGAGAAGATATTACTGCTGGACCGGAAGAGAAAGATGTCATTCCATGGGTAGATCGAGAAGAGAAGGCTTCCGAGATGGATACTTATCCTGTGAAATCAAATCTTGTAGAGGAAAAGATTATCGATGCATCTTCCGATGAAGGAGATGAAACGAGAATCGTATCTCTAGCTGAACGCATGAAAGATATGTTCGACTCGGCTTCACCGGTTGAACCTTCTAAAGCTTTTGGAAAGAAAACCAGTCAAGAAGGACGCAATTATTTTGGCACAAAAGGATCGTCGACGCAATCGTCCCTGACAAGAGACATGAAAAAGATGTTTGATTCTCCGTCACCCGATGAACCGTCAATGGCTTTTGGCCTCGGTAATCGTGTCATCAATCAGSCGCATCAGCCTACAATTATGAATTCGAAAAACTGTAGAAAAAGTGAGACAAAGCAATCGAAACGTCCAGATCKTGATAAAGTTGAGCCAAATTCTTCGAAGACAGACGTAGACGTGAACGTGTCCGCATCAAGTCAGATGGTTTCACTGTTGTGGGCATCATCACTACAAAAGAATGAAATTTCTCGTTCGTCTCGAAACACAGCTGCGGATATTGAGATTGAAAAAGGSAAAGAAGACAAATTGGTGGATTGTTATACTGTCGTTGAAAAGGAAGATGGTGAGGATATTGAAGAAATGACTGTGCACGAATACGCCGAGAGTGTTGCATTATGCAACGAAGACGACGAGGACGTCTTTATCGAAGAAGTTGTCATCGATGACGATAATGAAGATGGCACCGGTGACGATAATGAAGATGGCACCGGTATTACGACTGCGGTGGATATCATTGAAGAGATGGATGTGGATATTGTTGAAGTAGGATCGGATTTTGACGCCGGCGATGATGATGACAACGAAGATCGCATCCAGTTGCACGATGAGACAACCGTTGATGACTGGGAGTTTGAAGAGGCTACGATTGACGATGACGAAACAGTTGAGGAAATATCCGATAAAAAGATTGAGGATATYGATAACATTGCTACGATCATCATCACAGATAGCAACAAAACAAATCTCTTCAACGCAAATRGATCTSTTTCCCAAASCAGAGTGGATYATACTATGTCTCTGAATCCATCGTCGCATTCACAAAAAGACTATAAAAAGGATAATTCACCAGGGCGCAKAGAATTTGCTCTTSCTGCCCCGTTAATGGCGACTGAGACCGATTGTTCCCAGCGTAATTCGCTTCTGAGWGAACAAMAGCGTCCGGCCACTGATAYAGAAAAGGAAAATTCAGAAACTCGAAGATATATGATGAGATTGGGAATGTCAGATGCAATAAATGTGACACCAAAGAAATACCCACCATCTTGGCAGAATTCAAAGAATCTGTCAGAGTCTACACTTGGTAAGAGGTGCAAWACAAAGACATCACCGGTATTGCAAGTTACTAATACCAGCGCAATGGCGATCATCAGACCAGATTGGAAAAAGGATGAGGGACTCGTGGAAGAAATCATATCAWTAGTAAAGGAACCCAATGCTATGCAGAACAAAATGTTACTGGCGGAGCGTATTRCMTTTCTTCTTGTCGGGGATGTGGAAGAGGAAACAAAATCATCAAACACATCGTTTTSTTCTTGTTGTTTGTCTCCATCGAAAACTGTTGAAYATTCACCGACGGGAAACAAGTACCAAKCAGAGGCAAATGCGTACTCAAACCGTAAGAAAGATGGTTTCAAAGATCCTGGTCTGAAGAAGATGAGGCGTGATGTTCTRTTTCAAAAGGCGAAGCTGGACCATGTTGACGATCCGGATACGATTTCGAATCGAACTCTGAGACGAAGACGTATGAGGTATTCGAAAGCAAACGAAKCGATGCACTCGTCGGTACTAGCAGCGTTCTCTTTTGAAAACGAGACTCGCGATGAATCATCGTTGCCTTCCGCGGAGGACAAAGCTGCTTTGGCAGAAAAGGTGATATCCCGCATCTGGCCAAAGACTCCGGACGGCGCCAATCCCAAATCAAAACCTTGGCAAAAAGGAATGCTTTTGGAACCGCCAAAAACTCCTTCTCCGAAAAAATTGGGAGATCGATTGAAAATGTTCGAGTCTCCTTCGTCTTCTTGCTCATCTCCGTTTACAAACGATCGTTGCAATAGAGGCAGAGCGGAACGAAACACCAAAGGAAAGGCCGACCGAGCACCGATATYATTRTTCGAAAAGACAACTAAACCCTCCGGAAACGTGTCCGGGGTRGCAGAAAMCAACAAAGTCAGCGAGAGGACCCTGAAGAATCTGTGTGCATTTCAAAGACTGTGGAGAAGGACAAGATCGAAGCCCGGRGACGTCGCCACGACAGACATCGGAGCATCATCAAAGARGAARAGGGTGTCATTTCTTACCAWTCCCAGTGACAGAACCATTCGCAGTTCCGGGGCAAACTCTGAAAAACCCAAGCCCGCCCTCCGCGAACCAAGAGGCTCGGACGCTCTTGCTTCGACCTCTTCTTCGGGACAAGAACGTAATGCCGACTCGGCACATGCTGCTACTGGTTGCTCCGGGATTCGATACAAGCTCGAAGATTTCGAACTAGGCCGGKTCGACAAGGACGTCGTCGACATGGACAAATGGGAAGACTTCCTGGAAGACGACGAGTTCTCGAAGCACTTTGGCGTATCGAGAGAGGAGTTCAGCAAKCAACCCAAGTGGAAACGCGACAGAGAAAAGCGACGAATCCGGGTGGCATTTTGAGTCTCGCACAAAGAGTAGCGTGTCCATCCGTTTCAGAATCTACTCTTTCGATAAATCTGCGCCRCAAACATCCATAACGAATAATTCATTTACTAGCCATCAATCCATACATGTCTTGCTCTGACGAAAAAATATTTGCAAAAATATTAAAAGAATTAACTTTTTGGTCTATCGTTAAGGACGAAGATGCTTGGCCGTGCCTCCCGAGACCCTAGTTTGCCTTGGCCTTCACGGCGGCCTCCAACCGGTCCAGGGCCGTTGCCAGTTCCTCCTCCGTGATGATGAGCGGGGGAACAAACCGCACGACGTTCGCACCGGCGGGAACCAGCAGGAGGCCCTCCTCCATGGCGGCGGCGACGAGCTCGCCWGCCGTAATGTCCTCGGCGATGCACTCGACTCCCTTGAGGAGTCCCCAGCCGCGGACGTCTCCGAGGATGGTGGGGTACTTCTCGGCCATGGCCTCGAGGCCCTTCGAGAGCTGCTCGCCCCGCTCCTGCACGTTCGTGAGGACGTCGTGGTCGCAGATGTACTTCGCGACGGCCAGTCCGGCGGCGCAGGCGAGGGGRTTTCCTCCGTATGTGCTGGCGTGGTCGCCGGGTCCAAAGGTGTCGGCGGCGTCGCCCCGGGCCATCATGGCGCCTGGGGGTCACGCAAAAGGTTTGACGAAAGCAGAGCAGAGCATAGCAGCGCAACAACGAACAATGAGATGCGACGAACCACCGCGAATGAATCCACCCAACCGGCGAGCCACAAACCCCACGAAACCCGTCCAAGACAACAACAAACAAWSAAASAAATCAAGCAGCGGTGCGACACTCACCGATCGGAACACCACCTCCGAGGGCCTTGGCGGACGTAAAGACRTCGGGAACCACGCCCAGGTTCTCGTGTCCCCACAGGGTTCCGGTGCGTCCCATGCCGGCCTGGACCTCGTCGATCAYGAGGAGGGCCCCGGCCTCGTCGCAGAGCTCCCGGGCCCTGGCGAAAAAGGCGGGGTCCCCGGGGATGATGCCACCCTCTCCCTGGAGGGGCTCGAGCATGATCGCGGCCAGCCCCCTGCCGTCCGACGTGGCCTTTGCGACGGCCTCCTCGAGCGAGGCAATGTCGTTGTAGGTGCAGGCCTCGAATCCCTGGACCATCTCTCCGTCGTAGCCGAATCCCTTGTGGTACTTGGGTTGTTGCGTGGCACTGAGCGCCGCGAGGGTCCGGCCGTGGAAGGACTGGTGGGCCGAAACGATGACGGGCTTGTCGATCCCGCGGTTGGAGGCGTGCCGGCGGGCCAGCTTGATGGCCGCCTCGTTGGACTCGGCGCCCGAGTTGCAGAAAAAGGCCTTGTCGGCCCCGCTGTTGGCGCAGAGCCACTCGGCGAGGGCGGCCTGTTCGGGAATAAAGTAGAGGTTGCTCACGTGGTGGACGCGCTTCATCTGCTCCTCGATGGCGGTGGTCAGCTCTTTRTTGTTGTGTCCGAGGGCGCAGGTGGCGATTCCGCTCACGCAGTCCAGGTACGTCTTTCCATCGGTCGTCTTAAGGAAGCAGCCCTCTCCGGAATCGATCGTCAGTTTGTATCGGCTGTCGAGAGTCGGGCAAGCGGGAAAGTTGACCGTCGATTGGTTTGGTATGGTATGGTATGATATGATATGGTTTGGTTGTTGCGTGATGGGTTGGTTGGTGCAATAATTTGTTTCACGGGGACCACAAGAATTACATCGGTCAGTCGACGATTGGAAAAAAAGGTATGTTCGAACCGAATGGATGCAAAAACGACGTGACACAGCATTTGCAGCAACGACAGCACCATCCATTTCTCGCACCAGGCTTACCCGTATGTTTTTTGGACATTGGCATCGTACGTGTCCTCCGAGGTCTCGGAGACTTCCGCAATGCTCTTGGGGGGAGAGAGCTGCTGGGCACTCGAGGCAACACCGAGAGACGTCGACGACGCACTAGCAGACGCCGACGACGACACGACAAAGGACGTCGCGGAGGGGACAAGGGCGGCAGCGGTTGCGGCCAGGCAGGCAACGGATGTGGTCTTCATTGTGGGGTCGATGGATTTGTGACTAGAGTGTATTGGTGGTTCGATCGGGGCACAGTACGGTGCGGCAGTGGGAACTCGTGGTGTTCTGTGGCACCGAGGCAGAGAAGTTTGTGTGTGCCGAAARAGATTTCTTTGTTTTTTGTTGTGTCGTTGAAGTCTTCGTTGTTTGCACGGATGAGAAAGTACTCGTACCGTAGGAGAAAGAAGGACGGGGCAGAAACGAAAGCAGGCAGCTCTTCGTGGTTTGACGTGGTTTGTCGAAATCGTACGATGCTTCACCGTACGGTACAGTAATACGAAAATCTGAGTGGTTAGTCGGAGTCTGTACAGGCCAGGTCTACTGAGCATCGTACTTCGAAAATGCATCGGGAGACAGCGTTCCAAAAATCCGGCAGAAACGACAACATTTGTTCGTCACAACGGGTGATGGACAGACTAGTGGAAGACGGGATTTCGATCCAAAATCCACCCAGCGTTTCCAGATTTTGCGGTACCATACCATGCAAACGCTCGAGAAGAGTCAACACGAAGCCCCGCAATCGACAACTGCCGTGGAAGTATCACGACAGTGCCAACAACTCCGCATCGATGTGGACCGACACGATGAACATAGCATCGGGCTTCAAGGCACCACGTCTGGTCAACTCGGATTGCAGAAATTGCGCGGTTTGTTCTCCTTGGTTACGACAGCTGGACGATTGTTCCTCTCTTTCATTTTAAAAAAATATCACGAATCGCACGATTAAATCGCAGAAAGTCGCTGCGGGGGGTGTCTAACCGAAAACGAAAGGAATTGGCCTCCTCCATCACCATGTCCGACCGAAAACGAAAGGCGGTCGATATCGTCTCGGTAGGAACCCCTCCGAAGAAAATAGTTGGCGAGAGCCAGACCATTCGCTTCGTCATCTACGACTTTGAGAAACACCCCGAAAAACGTGATGAGTGGATCTCGTCTCCAATTCTGTGTGCCCATGGGCATTCATGGAAGATTAGGGTTTATCCAAGAGGGTGTTCAGAATCAAGTAAAGGAAAGGAGTATGTTTCTTGTTTCTTAGAYWTTSCMKRCAATAGAGAAGGTGGTCCAACTGTGAAATTTTATTTACGTTGTAGAAAGGTCACAACAAGATCTCGCCTACAAGAATTCGGCGMAGAATGGAATTGGGGTTGGAGAGACTGGGTCGAAAGGGAAAATATTTTGAAAGACTGCTTAGAGCCAGACGGGAGCTTGGTAGTCGAAGCAGATATCWGGATGTGTGTCGATAGCAAAGTATGGTATCCCAAGGAGCTCCAACGAGAGGAGACACTGGTGGCGCTCTATCGCAACACTCCTTCTGAAACCGCCGATGTTACGTTCACTGTAGGCAAAACAAATTACGAAGCCCATTCATTKATCCTCTCGATGAAAGCCAGGGCGCTATTCGAACTATCCAAGGAATACAAGAACGATGTCCCTGTTCCGATTCCTGAAATTCGTCCGAAAATCTTTAGGAGCGTTTTGGAGTTCATGTACACCGTGAGAACACCCAACATCGAGGACGAGGAAATTGCGTTAGAAATCCTTGTCGCTGCAAATCGGTTCGAGTGTACGCAGCTCAAGCTCTACGCAGAATCCGTCATCGTCGACAAGTTTTTGGCGGGCTCAAATGCTGCTGAGATGTTGATGTTTGCGGATTCGCATTCTTGCGCTCTCTTGAAAGAAGCGGCCATAAACGTATACATGAGCGATACCAAACGTGTTAGGCGATCCCAAGGCTGGACCAAAGTCAAAGAATCGAAGAGGCTTCTTAGTGAGCTGCTTGAGCATACTCCCCTTCTGAATATAGAAGTTGGACTGGAATATTGGTCTGATGACGTGGATCAAATGGATGTGGCTTGTCTTCGTGACCATCTACAAGACGCCAATCAAGAAATCGATGGAAGCCGTGAAATGCTTGTGGAACGTTTGAAGGAGATCACATGCGTTCCTGGATATCATCCAGAAAATAGACAAGAAATATGATGCGTAGGATTGTAGCCAAACTACAGATGAAATGACAAAGCAATCAAAAAGAACAGGAACATTTCCTATGGCGATGAATTTCTATAAATTAGATGAGATTCTGTTAACTATATATTCTCTGTCACGCATTTGGTGACCTTTTCTATTTCCTCTAGTGTGAAATCGTTCGCAAAGTAATCCRATGCATCTGCAGTCTCGTCGACCATGCAGTCTTCGATCTTGCTGTCATCGATCTCGCCCACAAAATTTAGATCCATCGTCTCGTCGACCTCATGGTCTTTGATCTCCCTGCCGTATTTTTTAGAGTCTTCTTGTGGATGAAGTAAATCTTTAGAAGTACGATGCAAAGGCTTTCTAATCTGGTAGTCTTCGATTCTGCTACCATCTTCGCGAACATGRACCACCTCTTTGACAATGCGAATCACCAACTCGTTTGGAGATGTTGTTTTCTGAGATCCTTCCTCGCATCCGCAACTGCCAYGATTTGCGTTTCCCTGTGCCACATTTGTCGCATGATCGAACCCATAGCTCTCTTGTTGCTGTTGTTGCTCTGCTGTTTGTTGTCTCTGGGGTTGATGATGTTGCTTCTGCTGCTGCTGCTGTTCTTGTTGATTCAGCTGCTGCTGATCCGACTCAACCTCATGCTGTTGTAGGGGATCTCCCATAACGTGGSTGTGCTGATGCTGCTTCCATTCCGGCTCAACCCCAAGCTCATGTATGGGATCCACCACAACGGGAAAGCTAGGAATCGACACAGGATCCCGGTCGACGTACACCACCTTGTGCACAAAGGTATATACTCCGTACACTCCAAAGCCGACCCAAAACGAGCACACCAAGAGGGCAACCAAAGCACCCATTCGCAACAGCGAGGGCGGGTACTTCCAGAGCCGCCGCAGGTTTTCGTGTCGCTCCTGGATCGCTTTCGAGGTCGCCCGCTCGGTTTCGACGCTTCCAYCTCGAAACCTCCGGACCCTTCCGGTTTTCTTCCCTTCCTTTGGGGGAGCACCGCCGTCTGCCCGGGTGGATTCGTTTCGGGGGTGTGCCCTGYGGGCTCGTTTTTCTTTCAGCAAGTCGTCGATGGCGTTGTAGAACTGAACGTACGACGGCTGTTCCGATTCCTTCGTTTCCATGGCTTCGAATTTGTGGTACAAGTCTCTGAGATTCGGAACGGGTCGTCGTTCCATATTTGCTCCTCCTCCTCCTCCGCTGCGCAGCTTCGAACCAAAGGGCAAGTCCTCCATGTCTTCTTCGACCATCGCTTCGAATGTTTCGTTCTCGCCCTCCAAAGTAGGACCCGGCCGTGGCTGGTCGTTTCCGAGGTTGCTGGAAATCGAGGCATTCGCCGAGGGCAGGACGGGCCCGTCCCTGTTTGCCGATTCCGAGCGCTGGGCTCGCGGGCGTTCCCCGTACAGGATCCTTTCCTGCAGCAACCCGAGGTCGACCCGGTTCCGGCAGGTTTCGAGGTGGGTGCTGCCCCTGCGCTCAGCGGAAGAATGGGGATCGAGGTTGGGGGTGGCGACCCCGTCCACCCGAAAGGCCACGTTGGAGGGGATGCTCTGCCCCGTCGTCTCGTCGTCGGGGGTGATTCCGCCGTCGGCGTCGTCGACGGGGGGCAAGCCGCCATAGCCACCGCCGTTGCCGGTGTGGTGGTTGTCCGCCATTCCCAGGCTCGTGAGGATGATTTGCTCCGTGCTGTGGTCGCCTCCAGCGATGAGCGCGGACCCCCCGTAGGCCCGCTCGTTCTGTGCGTTCCGGACCCTGCGGGGGGTGGCGCTCGCCCCCCGGMAGGAATCGTCGGCCTCCTCCAGCGCATGGCACAGGTGGGCCGTCACCTCCGCCAGGGCGAGCGTCGTCGACGGATCGGAGGCCAGCTCGATGCTCTTCCACACCAGGTCCTTTAGGTTCTGGAGAAACTCCTTGCTCTTTCCGCTGGCGACGGCATCGACGAGGCGGCATCCGAGGACCCCGAGCTGGTCCAGAAACTCTTCCATCTCGGGGGTGCTGAAGCAAAAGCAATGTATGAAACGATCTGGTGAGATGACTCTTTCCTAAASAGGTCACACATTCTGCAACGTTCTGATACTATACGACGGATCGGGAATCCCGCGACAAGGATGGCACAAAAGACTCCGCCACGATGCGATTTTGTGCAAAGCAACCTAAACACACTTACTGCAAGGCATCGGCCAGCTTGACCCCGGTGGCCATCCCGTCGACCACCACCTGCCGGGACTCCGGTGCGCTCCAGGCCTCCACGAAGGAGCCGGCCACCACCCCGACCTGGTTCCGAAAGCCCAGCCCCCGGGGGGTCGACCCCGAGACCAGCACGCAGAACAGGTGGTAGACGCTCGAGCTGAGGATCCGGAACCAGTCCTGGACCCGCAGCGGCGTGACGGCGTCGAGGCCGTCCACCACCATGGCCAGGATCGCGGGGAGTATGACGTTCCGGGTCATGGCGATCGGCGGGCTCAGTATCGTCCCCGTCGTGGACAGGGTGATGCCCGCCACCACGTTGAGGGCGTCCAGCATGCCCTCGGCCAGCCAGCTGCGGAAGGAGGAGGGCGGGGGCTTCGTCGCGGATTTCCGTTGCTGTTGTTTTTGTTGTTGCCTGCGGTAGTAGTTCGAGCGGGGGGTTCCAGGTTCTCCCTCCAGCACCAGGGTGGGGGGGAGCAGCGTCGTMAGGTCTTCCTCCCCCGGATCGAAGCTGTCGTCGAGTTCCGAAACGAAATCCCTGGCGAGGTTGCTGGCCGCCGGGGGTTTCGTCCGGCGGATCCCCGGCCGCACCGGGGAGCTTCCGTGGTCCTCCGGCCACTCCCCGGCCCGGCTTCCGCYTGCGGTYCCGCGCCCCCGGTACGGCGAGGCCGAGGCCGGTCGTCCCCGGCGGAGGGCGTCCCTCCGCAGCTGCTCGCCGGAAGCCCACGACGACCCGGCGGAAGACGGGCGGCGGCGGAGGCGGTGGGGGGAAGAAGCACTGTGGAGGGCCACGCGGCCCTGGAATCCCTCTCCGTCGTCGTTGCGGTCGTCCCCTCCGTCCGACACGGTTTCGACGACGACGCTGTCGTCCTCGTTTCGTTGGAACGATATTTCGTTCGGGGCATCCATTCCATCGGCCATCGCAGTTGCAGTACGGAGAATAGTTTTCTTTGGAGCGTGCTAGAGAGGAAGTCGGGGATCGGATAGAGTACGAGTACACAGMAATGCTGCCTGTAGGACATTCTTGTGTTAACAAGGAACATACCTAACGGCGGCAACACGATTACGTAGTTTTGGTCGTGGTGATGGGAGATAAAACAGAAAACCACCTCTTCGTATCAGGTCGTACGGTAGGATTTGAGTAATCGACAAGACGACATCATCTTGGCGATTAGGAAAAAAGTATTCGTTTACGTACTGTAGTACTCGTAGGGAATCTCCGTAAGAGGGGAGCCGAACACGTCGTTCGTGACCTAGCATATTTATAAGACTGACRAAACGTGAGCTCCCTTAGTTGAACGCGAACGCCGTAACGGTTCGCTCCTCCTAAGCAAAACGGCCGCGCCGWGTTCTTGCCTCATTCGCGCCGGGCGTGCGAAAAAGTATCGGGGTGGTGTCCCTCTCACACGAAAACCGTGGCAATTTCCTCCAGAACGAGTTCGGCGCGTTGGCTTTTCCGGAGTTGCCGGGGGGATTGCCTGCTTGCGGCACGTACTGATACTCGTGCTCGTTCCGTCTCGCTCCCTCCGGACCCATTACGTCACCTCGGAATTCGAACCCACCCTAATTGGGGAAGGATACTCCAACAAATACGGGTTCGGATGCCGATCGTTGCGACTGACGTTCACATCACAAAGAGATGCCCCTCTCATTGCGCAGCGGAGACAAACAAGCAACAACACGATTTCGTTGGTGTTGAAACCCACAATTCTGCTGACAGCAAAAAGAAAGACCTATTCGAACTACAATTCTAAATACATCACAAATCCTTGCACCGATGAGCTTGGGTACTGCGAGTCAGGGCCCGGAAGAGACCGGAGAGAGGCGCGAACCAGCACCTAGAGATTCGGGCTCGTCGATTGGTTCGCCACACAACGAATCGGGATTCGAGCAACCGGCGAAACCGACCATCGGCAGCCATTGCAACTATAGTATTAGCAGTAGYAGTAGYAGCAGCAGCAGCAACAGCATCCTGGCGCTGGGAGGGAGCTCCGCCCGCAAGCCAAACTCCCGGGGAGCAGCGACTCTGGGCGGAGAACCCCAACACGATGCCCATCCCTCCACGGTGGGCACGGGGGACCATTGTAGCAATCCCTTGTGGATGCATCAACTCGGCTATGGATGCGACTCCGATTGCGAATCCGACCACGGCTTGCAAGACGAATGGTGGAACCACGGCCCCGACAGCCTCGGAACGCACGCCTGCGCCTACGATAAATTCCGGTACATGGGCGGGGACTATTTCGCGACGCAGGACACGGCGATCACCGCCRCGGAGGAGATGGCCCTGATCCTTTCGCTGAGATTGGGGGCGGAATAGAAGAGCACGGGCCGGCACCAGATCACAACAGAACAAAYCCGGGCAGAGCAGAGCAGAGCGCACCACAAACAACCCTGCCGGGGGCAGCCTTTCCTTCAAAAGGTTGAAAACCCACCCGTGTTCCGACCATACACCCACTCACTCAATCACTCACGGATAGCACGTATCAATGTACGTAGGTACTTTCGCACACCGTTGGGACTGCGATTCCCTACCAACCACTCCACGCCTTGGTGGAAACCGTTCGAGGACAACTRCCAAAAACGAGAGAAGAGAGCCGCCGCAAGCTTCACGGAGAATGTAGGGAGCTCTATTCGATGCCGTGTACGTATGACAACGCAATACCGTCTGCCATGGTGTGTATCAACGCTGATGACAATTCATCCGAGTATTCAAAATCTGCACCTAATAGAGGGGACGATGTCTATTATGGCACCTGCAATCACACGTATTTGATGCCGTAGATACTAAATTTCTTATTTAACCACAGTAGCAATGACAACAACAATGGGAATTCATTTTTCAACTAGACTTTTTTTCATTTTAAATGGAACGGAACCAAATCGTTACCTCCACCAAGCAATATGCACCAGAAAACAGTGCTCCAAGATGAATGGATGGTCGTCCCAATCCACTGCTTCTGTTTCCTCTGGCCCTCGTCTGTCTCCGTTCGCCTTTGGGCCGATTCTATCCCAGCGCTTCCTTCCTTCTTCCGATTGGTTTCTTTGCCTTGCCTTGCCTTGCCTTGCCCTGCTCCGCCTATCGCCGACGCCTGCGGCGGACCGAGGCGGGGCGGATGAGGATGCTGTCGATGAGCCAGGCCGCCTCGTCGTCGTCCGGGCCGGATCCGCTCAGGATAAAGTTGACCGAGATGCAGTCCGACGGGGCCAGGCCGGTTTGCAGCCGCGCCGTGAAGAAGCCCTTCTTGCCCTCGAAGGAGTACTCGCCCTTCTCTATCGTCTGCTGCCTTGCCTTGCCTTGCCCTGCTCCGCCTATCGCTGACGCCTGCGGCGGACCGAGGCGGGGCGGATGAGGATGCTGTCGATGAGCCAGGCCGCCTCGTCGTCGTCCGGGCCGGATCCGCTCAGGATAAAGTTGACCGAGATGCAGTCCGACGGGGCCAGGCCGGTTTGCAGCCGCGCCGTGAAGAAGCCCTTCTTGCCCTCGAAGGAGTACTCGCCCTTCTCTATCGTCTGCGCGAGCCAGCAGCACGTGTGCGAGTGGGAATGCGGGCGGAATTGGGAGCAAAACAAGAAAAAAGAATGAACGAAATGGGATGAGATAGGACAATACGATAGGGCAAGACAAGACAAGCATACAAACATAATATCTTCAATGTCTCAACATTTTCCCAACAAAGTAACAAAGCACAATGAAGCACAACAAAGCACATCGAGGCAAACTCAACAAATGAAACGCACCGCCTCTAGGTGCTCAAAGAGCGCCTTGTACTCTGTCTCCTTGAGAAACTCTCCGTACTCGGCGGGGGTCAGCCCCTCTTCCTGCTTGATCTGGGATCCCGGCGAGCTGTATCCGAACAAGATCTCGACCCCCTTGTTCGTGTAGGGATTGTCGTTGTTCTTGAGGGCGTCTAGGACCAGCAAWACCACCTCCCCGGCCGTTAGCTCCGGATCGGGAACGGTCGACGGGGGGGAGTATTCCACCTTGGCGTCGCCGCCGTCTCCGTCCTCGTCGTCGTCGTTCCCGGGACCGCTGATCATGTCGACAAAGCCACCCGCCGTGTCCAGGACGCGGTCCTTGACCTCTCCGTAGAGCTGRGCGTTGGGAATRTCGACGCTGGGGTTGGCGCTGGCGTCCTTGGAATCGTACCCGACAAAGGCGTCGATGGCGCCCTGGGGAATGTTGGGCTCGGCCTCGTCGTCGTCGTCGTCTTCCTCGTCGTAGCCGTCGTCTGCGTAGTTGCTCCKGTCATCCAGGGCGTCCCCCTCGTAGTTGTAGTCGAAATCATCKTCGTCGTCTTCCTCGTCGTCGTCCTCGAAATCGCTCTCGTCGATGCTGACACCCTTGGCCTGGGCCATTTTAAAAAATTCGCTCGCCAGGCTGGCCCCTTCCTCGTCGGTGCTTTCGTCTTCGGGGGTCGAAAACAGCCGAGAGGTGAACGGAGGCGAGAAAGAACCCACAGCGCACGACCTCCCGGCAGCAGTGCACGCCGTGCCCGCAGGTGGAATCACAAAGGCAACGCAGGTACCACCGCTCTGGAGCACGACGGCTAGCAACGCCAGGGGCAAGATTGTTGTGTGAACGGCGGGGATCATTGTAGCTCGGCAGGTATGTATTAGGTTCTTAGTTAAGAGACCGTATTCAATAAAAGGTATGTATTGGWTATGTTGAGAATTGGTTGGTTCTTTGTTTGTTGTTTCGATTTGTAGACAGCACAACTGGTAGTTCGCAATATATTATGGGAGGGAAACGGGAAGCAAGTGATGTCGTTTGTTCCCCCGTCTCCTGTGACTCCAATCGCAGCTTTCAACAATCGACATCGCAGAGAACTTCTGCGAATRGTTTCTCAYATACCGTATGATTACAAGTACGAACGGGTACGAGTACTACACCTGCTCGTACTGACTGACACGAACAACATCACCAACGAGGATTATTTCAGGATCTTCTGAACCCACCGTCTACTTTGAGCAGATCTTTGCATTCTGATTGGCGGACACGAMGTTGATGCGAATCTATCTTCCTGTTGTTGTAGACCCTGCCCCCTGGAACGAAGTTTATTTTATCTTATTTTCCCCCAAATGCTGCTTGAATCGGAACAAGACGTACCTTTACTATTAACATATCATACGTACATTTCCTGCTTTGAAGTAATAGTGGTACAAGTATGTAGTAGTAGTACTAGTAGTAGAGAAGTTTCTCCATATAATGGTAACATCATCATGAAGATCATATGTCTTGGATCGAACAGCAACAACTTCTGTCGATGATCGTCACAAGAAGAGCCACAAGAAGACGATAGAAGGGTTCCATGAAGATGACGATGGCACAAGACAAAGCACCTGGTGGTACATTCAATGACGACGAGGAAGAGGTCGTACGAGCAGGACGAGGTGCACGAGTATCATGAAATGGGAGCTAGTCACGAGCAAGAAACTAATGATACTGCCGCTTCAGGTTCAATAGCGATTTMTGTACGCACAAATAGTAGGAGCCTGGAATAACAACATGAAATATGCATTCACGACAGAAAGTTTCATCGGCAGGGAGCATCACACACCACGTTGCTTGTACTACAAGTGTATTTGTAGTATGGGACTCCCGTTTTATGAAATCTTTTCCGAAACTATAAGAGTAATATTTCGAAGCCAAATTTTTTATTGATTCTTCGTTTTCCTTCGCTCAACCGGTCTAATACCCAGAAAATACTCTCAAAAACGAGCGGAACAGAGACGAACATTTTTCTTGTTTGGCAGTGTTTCCTATTCAGTGACTTTCTTTCTGTTCTGATTGCGAAGAGGAGCGTACATGTTCTGTTGCTCAAAACTAGAGCCAAAAAATAATCCCCTCGATTGATCCGTGAACATATTTCACAGCAAAGAAACACACACTGGAATCGAAACGAACCAAAACAAGCTCTAAAATTACATTCGTGCTCTACTAAGATGCAACGCAACCCAAAAGCGGCGGTGGCCAGTCCCTCCGTTGAAGTTGGTTTTCGGTGTTCAACAGCACCGCCCCGCGCCACCGRAACCAACCGGTGCGTCACGTTTAGGTTTAGGCGTTCCCCAGCAGGGAYTTGGTCTCGCTGCCCACCACCGCGGCCGCGACGGCCACCGAGGCCTTCGTCGGCGTGGCCCAGGCGGCCGTCTGGACCGCGGCGTCGCCCCCCGTCCAGTACATCTTGCCCTCCTGCCAGGCCGTGGGCGCCCGCTCGTTGTAGCTCTTCCAGGTYCGGTACTCCGGGTACTGGAGGTAGGTGTAGATGTAGCCGGTSCCYACCACCAGAAAGGCCAGGCCCAGCAGGGAYTCCCACCAGGTGCTGAGGATGCCCAGGCTCATCCCGCTCATCATGAGCAGGACAAAACCCCTCGAGAGGGGATCGTAGAGGAATCCRAAATTGTCCTTCAGGGCCTCGATGTTGAGCTCTGCCCCCAGGACCAGGAGGCAGAAGACCCCCAGGTAGGCACCCAAYACGAACTGTGCGGGGTGKACCAGGGCCATCCCGATCAGCCGCATCGGAAAGGCAAAGCCCTCCCACACAATGGCGGCAACCGTGGAGACAATGGTGGTCAGCCGCAAAAACGCGGTGATCTCCAGGAGGGACTTYCCGAGCAGTGCCCCGTCGTTCTGGTTGCTGTTCCCGGTGTTGGGCCGGAGCTTGGCATCGCCGCGCATCCGGGGCAGGTGGGCACCGTCGATCCCRCCAGCGGCATGCGCTGTGGCGCCCTCTCCCCCAATCACCCGGCCGCTGTTGCTGATGCTAATGTCCGGCCGGGCCAGGCCACCGGTGGTGTCGTCCGTGTAGAACTCGGAAGACAGCCCGTAGTCCTCGGAGATAATTGGTTTCGGGGTGTGGGGGGTTCCGTGGCCGCTGTAATCGTAGTCGTAGTAGTGGCTGTTGTAACCGCTTCCMCCACYGGCGTGCTGGTAGGAGAATTCGCCGAGATCGACCGACTCGCCTCGGGACGACGAAGCCGCCGGTGTTGGTTTTGGTTCGGAGGAGGGCTTGCAAAAATTCATGGTGTTGRCATCAGYCTCTGCGGATCAACGAACAAAGTACCGTAACTAATTGGYMGGCAATTCTTTTTTCGTGTCTAGTCCCTTCACGTTTCCCTTCGATCGACGATAGATTATCACGTATCCAACCGTGATYGTTRTCAAAAAGAGAGATCAAGGATTATTGTGTTGCTCTTTGAATTCTGACTATAGTTTGCTGTTGCTGRATTGCTGTCCCGGGTCGTGAAACCCAGTTTCCTCTRCCGGTATGTAAMGTCTTTCGGGCGGGAGGTTTTTAAAGGACGACTGAATCTTCGAGAAGGAAATAGAATAGAATGTGTTTTTGAGAAACTATCACCAAATCCACTGAACAGAGCGSCAAGCATAAAGCAWTTTGGTAGACAGATGATGCGAAGGACGGGAATKCTACGTTTACGTACTRCTCSTAGTACTCGTACTAGTGTTGTCAGCTGGCGTGCTGTGAAATCAGCTCGCTGTCGGGGGTAGTGTCTTGCMTCATCATTTTCTTCGGGCRRAAMCATATTTTTTTGGTCGCGGGTTTKKCCTCGAAWAAAGCWCTAACCCTAATAWAAAACGAACATGTGCCTGCTGGCGCATACCGTTATCGAGCAGGAACAGCCGAAACTCTCTCACAATTTCGGATTTTAGCGACAAAAAACACAAGCGGATGTCACGGATTTCGCAGTTTTAACCCCTGTGCCTAACAAACGGTACACTTCRCTGCTAATACAGCAGTACACACATCGATCGTTCGGATTGAGTGTACGCACGCTTTCTTCTTCCTTTCATCTTCTCGGATAAGGTTAACACTGCCAGACACGAAGCAGCCATTTTTAGCAAGGAATCTMTTCATCCTCTTCTATACCCGTAAATAGGAAACAGCATAAAAGTGAAAGGAAGAGTCCATCGACGCCTCTTTCATCGGCTTATCTTTGAACCAATCCACCCRTCGGCAATCCTAAGCAACCTTCGATAGGATAACACACTCATCGAAACAGTGAGAACCAAAAAAGCAAAACCGAAACCCAAACTAAAATTGGCACCCATTCAATCCGTCCTCTTCGAATAGACTTGTATCGGCACACAATCACTCTGAAAAAAAGAGATCCATCAAAACAATCCGCAACCATGTATCACCGTCACTCCACTTCCTCCACYGGCTCCRYTRGATCGGGAGCTCCRCCACAGCACCACCAGCAGTCGTACCCATTTCAGCGAGCGAGGAGCGCAGGATCGAGACACGGTTCTCAAATGAATCCAAACTACGACAGCTACGTCAGCCACAACAACAACAACAACAACAACAAGTCGTACTCCTCTCTTCCAGATACGGACCAGCACTACTACGGGGACCATTCCAACAACAACGTTTCGTACGACTCCGGCTACGGCAACGACGACGACAAATACAGCAAACGAGGCAACGGAAGTGCTTACACGAGCATGTCCTCCCCGACATTCATTGTGTGGAGGATCGTTCCCTTTCTAGTTCTGGTGCTGCTGCCCTGGATCCCCAACCAGTTTGTGCGCAGCCAAGTCAAATCCAAGCGGCTACACATAGAGAGTCTCCTCCTGGAACAAAAACAACTCGTGGAAAACCTCGACCAGACCACCGCTCGAATCAATGAGCTGAAACGGGACGTAGAAATCCTCCACAAGGACAACGAGCTGAGTTTTCAGGAACTCAAGCGCAACGGGAAATCGCCCAGAAACCTGGCCGCCGGTGAGGAGGATTTGGGGGACAGGGTCACCACTGCGGCGGATATGGAGAGCGAGGGGTACGAAACCATGGAAGAGGAGGAAGAAATCCTTGTCAGAAGAATCGATCGGTTGGAGAAAAGCATTCAGAGCAGTGCCGTAAAGCGACTGACTGAAAAGTACGTGAAAAATATGCAGCGAAGTAGGACTGCAGCGGTGGCTTTGATCGAACACACACAGATCTATATTTTCCATGAACGAGTTCAAACTGACCGAATTGTTGTGTTTCTTCTCTCTCTCGTAGATATGGAAACGGGCAATACCGTTTCAAAGTAAACGTTCGTGACCAGCGAGATCGTCAAAGATTTTTTGTCATCGAAACAGCCATGCTTGCAGAAATGCCACACGCAATCGATCACTTTTTCCGAATGATAGAAAATAAGTTGTGGGACGGATTGCCTCTCATTCACGAGCCGCATTCTCTAATCGTATCGGCAACCCCCACGCTTACGGACGGAAGTCACGCTTGGGGCGGGCAACGTTTCGTTGATGCCAATATTACACACATGGCCTTCACCGAGCACTCACCRACGTACCCCCCTCCACACCATCGGTTGTATACAGTAGCGTTTTCGGGACGACCGGGTGGTCCGGGATTCTACATTAGCCTGGACAACGAACTCGAGTATGCCCGAGAGCAAGAATCCACCTTCGGGGTGGTAATGGAAGGGAGGGACGTCTTGTACCAGTTTTTCCTCCAGAAGGACATGGGCATGAGAAAAATCTTGACGATCGAAAGCATCGAAATCCTTCCCACGAAGAGGCCAAAGGAGGAAGCATCATAATAGCAATGCTGCGTATCACGCAACATCGCATTCCATCTCACCATGCCATCACATCACAAAATACCCCCCCAAATAAAACGTTCAATTACAGCTATGAGCGTCCATCCGAATCACACTGCGTACTACATGCAACACAAAACGAACACATGACCTATTTATGCGTACTAGTAGCTAGGAGCCTGAACTAGAATTTTTCTTAAGACAAACTCAGTAGTATTTATCTTTCCAGCGATGAAGCGGGTCGATGGACGACCGATATCGCGTCATAATAATTTCTGGTACATGTAATCATTATACTATCTGGAGATGCAATTGGCCAAATCCAAACACGATGCAGARAAAAGACCGTGGTCAATATCGCGTCATGATATTTTCTGTTASATTAATTGTGATACTACCTAGAATTGCAGTCATAATAATAATCATGGAGATAATACTATTTTTTCGATTAGGCCGACCGATTYATGACACATTCTGTTGYGCCGTTGTTGTCATCCTGTCATCTWGTACATGTAGTATTATATGAAAGTCAAATGCAGTATGTAATTCTCCACTGAAACAAAATTGTATGTGCAGCACGCTTGCACATWGTAGAGTTCGTGTGTAAGATATTTTCTGTTGGTTTGAGGCACTAAAACAACACAAAACAAGGCACAAGAAACGTTTTAACCCATCATAGAAAAATGTTTGAGGGCCTCCGTGATCGTGTGCAAAAGGTCTGTCATACACGCGAGTGACAGAAAACTGGAGGAGGAGTTTCCTGTCWGCAATGCATCTTCGGGGTGGGCGAGTTTCCATTTCTCCCAGTCGAACTGGGGATCGAKCGAATCCCGCCGTACCGTCTTCCAGTCGATCCCATCGAAGTCCAGCAATCGCTTCCTCCCCTCGACCTTCCACTCGTATTCSCCGAGCTGTGGSAGTGCGACTAGTTCTTCCAATTCGGCTCTGTCTCTRTTCCAGCTCGATGCGTTCATCATGGACTGGAGGCGGCTTCCTTCCCCGTAYAAAGCCTTGTTGATAAAGGTCAGGGTCCACTTGGGATTAGGATGTGACTTTCTGGTGAATCTCATTCCCTCCCTCAGCTCTCCCGCCACCAACACTCTCGCAAACCAACCCGCGAGACAGTTGTGGTGCACATGGGTCTGAATCCCCTTCGAGCCCATGGCGGTGCCGTGTTTTATATTGACATAGCTGCACGGTTTACGGGGGGCTGTGATTTCTATCAAAAGGGGGGAGAGCCCGCCTTCTATCTCAAAGATATCACCGATAGAAAGATCAGAGGTCTGGCAACCGTTCACGATCACCTGTTCTCCAAAGGTCGGCCATTCCATRTAATCATAGCCTTCGTAACACCCCTTAAAGTCATCGTTCGATTTCAAGCGCTCGTAGTTTTCTTGGGACTGGAAAAGAATAGCCCGATCYTCCCGCACCACCTTTGCTTCCKCGTCTTCCTCGTGCCAAAATTTTGTGCCAACGAGACCTACAACGGGTTCGAACATTGCGGTTTCGTAGTCTTCGTCACTCWTGCCTCCGTCGCTATGGGCCTCGTCGCTCTGATCATTATCGCTTTCTTCTTGATTTCTCGGGGAATGATTCCCGATTGGCCTCGTTTTCATTCTTCGACGACAGAGAACAAATTCAGACTCGAGKTCCKCTTCTTCTTCTTCKWYTGGGGTGTATCTCGTATAGAGGCCTCGGACCGTAAATCCGACAGATTCACTGGCAACTGAGGATGTCTCGGCTCCAACATCCGGGCCGTTGGATAGGCTGTCCTTTTCCGGCGTCTGATCAAAGGACAAGGGGGATGACACGCCCTTCTCTGGGAAATGCACGGGGCTGTTTTCTGCAGAGTCCGAGGAGCTCGAAGAATCAGAGCACAATTCCAGATCCGGAAGCGCCTCTCTGGAGGATGCTGTTGTCGACATGGTGCCGTTCGCTCGGTAATGGAGGTCACGATTCAAACGGGCTGCGTTTTTCACTTCTGTTATTAGCTTTCTTCCAAAAGAAGACCTTTTGCTGTTGTTTCCTCGCATTCGTCTCAAAAAGAGAGAAGTGACACCGAATACATTTAGAATGCCTTTATGAAACAAGTACGAGGAAAGAGTATTTTTTCGTTTGTTGCTGTAATGTACTGTCGTATGCTTCTCTACGGGTACACGTAGTGCTCTATGATTGGTATTGGATAATGTGACTGATGTTGAATGTGCAACCCTTCTTCAGTCTTGGAAAACTATGTTCTAAATTTGACTAGACATGAGTGCGCCAATCATATTGACGACAGTTAAGGAGTTTTTCACTCCAAGGACACATGGCGATCTACGAATTGATTTTGTTTTCTAAATATTTTTTTAGATTTTCCAAATTCTTGCGGGATCAAGAGATAGAACGCGTGCTGGTTCGCGAGCCTTCTCTAAGTTTTTTAGGCCCTGGCAATCTCGGCTAGGCCGAAAACGTCATAAYGGACATTTTCACTGGCCGAAGCCGTTCGAAACAAACGATTAACGATTAGAACGTGGATTGTCGGATGTTTGAATTTAGGGTTCTTCTTTTCCAAACTTAATGTAGCGCGTGCAAAGCCACTGTTGCACGAGCTAGATTAATGAACGAAAGAACAAAATCGACAATGATTCATTGCAGCTTTGGTTGGAAAACAATGAGACGTCTACTCCAAATTTATTCTCTGAATTCTGAAGAATCGCCGATCGCCATTCTACCCAAGTACACCTCTCGCCCCTCCAAAAACCAACTTGTGTGATAGGTGACCACCAAACTCTACTATCGTATGATAACAATAACAATAGTAATGGAAAGATGGTTTTGTTAGATTCAAAATGCAGGCGATGACTGCTAATCCAAACCTCGTTTATCTCTACTTCACGAATCATCCCAGTATAGGTTGACTACCCATATTGATTTTGTTCGTGTAAGTATTGATTTGGTTTGCAGTAAACAACGTCAAGCACCAAAGACGACCATTTGGTAATTGGTATGACTAGGATCGTTTGTATTGCAATATAAAAAGAAGCATCAGTTGTTCAGAAACCGAATTTTCACGAGGCACCTGACTCAAAAAGTGCAGGATAAACGGCTCAAATGAAACGTTAGATTTTCTCTATCAAGAATAAGTCTATCTCTCCTCTGTTTCAAACCAAGAATGCTGTCAACAATCAACCAGAGGAGGGGACAAATTGTGGCACAGAAAAAAATCTCGGAAGCAAATTGCCTTACTTTACCTATTCCAATATACCCATTCCCTGAAAGTAGCAGATGAAATGAGATTCGTATGTCGCCAAGAAAATCTTGTTCGTGTGTACTCCCCAACAATACATTGGCCAATGATAAGGAGTCAGATTTTGAGAGGTTATACTACTTACTTTTTCTTTCTGGAACACCATATCACTGTTGTTGGAACAAACGGTCTGTGGTGCGTGCGTATCACTGAGGCAGGGAACCAATGTAAGTTACTGAAGACAGGCTACATTAAGGGAATGGTAGATTCAAGTAGAAGCTAGCTAATTGGAGGATTATCAAGCTATGGCAGCTGGTGATATAGCTGCTGATGGTGACAGTGGACAGATGTTGCAGGTCAAGCTGGCAACAGAAGTATCAAGGAACCTGATATACTAGGAACCCTTGAAGTTGAAGAGATCCAGGAGGGATCCAGGTATCTTTATTGATCTATAGTGGATCAATGAGGGAAAGAGTGAGACAATGAGTATAAGAGGAGTGAATTCCAGACAGAGGCTCTGATTATTAGAGCTAGGAGGAGAGATCATAATTCAAAGAAATAGAGAATAAGATTGAGAACATTTTATTTGACTTGATTCACTTACTGATTTTCAACCATCTCAACAACCGTTCCTCCATTGCAATSCTAAGGACCAACGAATCCATGACTGAATGTGTTATCAATTCAAACGATGTGAAAGCTCTCATTATAAAGTCTAAACCACCTGAAAAATATTTTTAACGCACCAGAGGCTGTACAGATGCCACGGACGTAGAGTTCGAAGAAATTATTAATTATTAACACTGTGTGCTTTTCTAGTGATGTGGTGTAATATGCTACCATTAAGTTGATGTATGCAACAGAATTGTCGATGCATAAGCGATAAAGGACCGTCAGGTGGTAGTGCTCAGAATATCTAGCGTGCTAACTAAGTTTTATTGTAAATTACACTTTCTTCACGATTTGTACGATGTCTTCGTCCATTAGCAAATGCTCCTTACCACACCGTTGCGGCTGATGTTTTGCCGATCGGCCCCAAACCCAGGCATAATTGAAATTGGCCATGATGCCCTTGTGCAACCGATTGCAAAATTCTTCGACTGTGGGGTTTTTCGAATGTAGAATTACCGGACCATCGTAATCCGGAGTTTGCCCCTGGGGTTTGGTATAAATACGGATCATGCTGCAGCGATGCCATACTTCTTCCATCAGTTCCTAGTGGTTTCACAACAATCAGGACACGAAGGAACAGAATGTCAGGCATACTCTTACGGACGTTTCGCAAAAAGCAGCATATGTTCTGCATACAAWTGAATACACCAAAGCAATTGAAATTCTTTCTCTGTTCGAGGCAGTGCGTWCACTTACTTCTAGATTCCATTTGTGTTGCGACGAGATCGGCACATAATTCGGCATTTGATCCAAAATATCAAGCTCTTCGATGGTAATAGCATCGATTTTGTTGAACACGTACAAGACCGGTATGTACGATCGATTACCCTCGACAACGTCGATAAATTGATCTGTCGTGATGTCTTCTCTCAATATGACTTCGGCACAAGAAATTTTGTACTCTTTACAGATCAGCCGRCATACCTCGGCGTTCATTCCCTTGGTTTGTGGAACTGCCTCTTGGTACCCGATACCTCCTTGTTCTTTTTTTACGAGCTTCACTTTGGGCGGAACTTGGTTGATGCGAATGCCAAAGCCAAACAATTCCTGTTCGATGATTTTTTTGTGGGTGACAGGCTTTCCGGAATCAAGCACAATTAAAATGAGGTTGCAGGTCCGAGCCGTTGAAATGACCTGCCGACCACGACCCCGTCCACCGGCAGCCCCCTCGATGATTCCCGGCAAATCGAGGACCTGGATGCGGGCTCCCTTGTATTTCATCGTTCCCGGTATGCACGTCAGGGTTGTAAATTCGTAGGCCGCAGCTTCCGACCGCGTGCCGGTCAAACTAGTGAGCAGGGTGGATTTCCCAACAGATGGGAAGCCCACTAATCCGATACGCGTGTCACCGCTCTTTGTTACGTCAAAACCACGCTCAGCGTTTTTCGTTCCTGCCGATTTTCCGCCGGGTCCGTTGATCAGCTCCGATTTCAGTTTAGCGATTTTGGCCTTCAGGGTTCCCAAATCTTTGAGTCCGAAGACAGAAGGGGRAAATCGTGAGTTGATGGACAAGAAGCCAAACCTCAGATAGAGAGCAAAAAATGTARCGATAGTCATGTCGATGGGATAGAATCATGTTGTACAGTATTCATAACCAGATAATACTGAATGCCGACTTCTGAACATCCCAATTGATACCCTGGAGAAATTTGGGACTCGCAACGAAGCGYAGCTATTCGGCCTAGAAAGATAAAAACTATATTTAAATGCAAACTCACGGTAGTTGGTGGCCTTGTTCTTCTGAGTTCGAGCCATTTCATTTTCGAGCTCCTCGATCTTCTTCTCGATGGATGCAGGATCGGACATGATGGAAAATTGATATGTTTGCCCTGAGGGAGTTCACTTTTAATCTACTATCAGGTTTTGGTTCTTATATAGACTATCTCTAGCGATGATGTTCTTAGGATGGCACGGTGTTGGCACTATTATTGATCGACGAAACTAGAGTTTGTCGAAAGAGGGCATCTCAAGTGTTTTTGTGTTTGTACGGTGGGACGGGTGTGCAGTCGATGAG